ATAGTTATCATAGTTGATATAGTTATCATAGTTGATATAGTTATCATAGTTGATATAGTTATCATAGTTGATATAGTTATCATAGTTGATATAGTTATCATAGTTGATATAGTTATCATAGTTCGCGTAGTTGTCATTGGTTATGGCCATACTCATGGCTATTGTCATAGTTACCAACCAACCATATGTTGGCAATGCCATGTAAACACACCCTTGTTCCGGACTAACATCGATTTATCAACATTGGCACACACGTGTATTTTACAACTATCACTGCCCCGCGTTCGGAAATGGCGTTTAGAATCTTCGACTGAAGCAGATAATTTAAGCCCCTGGTGATTATACTCACAGGCACTAACTTGGGACAGAGTCAGTAAAAACTGAAAATAATACGAACGCACATTCACAAATACTACCCTTTACCTCAATTACACTTCCACTGTTGTGTCACTGTATATCAACTTGCTTTCACAAAAACTAATGGAGAACTAGCTACTCTCCCTACACTCGCCGCTGCGATATTATAATTAATGATATTATATATAGAGTACTCTGTATATCAAGTTGATATACAGTGACACAACCGTGGAAGTGTAATTGAGGGGTAGTATTTGTGAATGTGCGTTCATATTATTTTCAGTTTTTACTGACTGTGTCCGAAGTGCCTGTGAGTATACTGATCGTGATTGTGATATTGATGGCATTGTTGCTGTTACGAACAGGTATGCGATCATGAAATCGTGCTGGCATCATAATCCTAGATGCCGACCGTCGTTCTTCTGTCTGCGTCAGAAGCTGGATCGAATCCTAGAAAACACTAACGCCTACTTGACCTTCACCACAGCGGAAGACGCTATCGATGCTGTCAACGAAGGAAATTTCAGGTACAATCTTGTGTTTTTTATATTATATGTTTTTTATTGATTTCATTTCTTTCATTTTTTCATTTTCATTTTTTTTATTGATTTCAGTTTTTTTTATTAGAGATAACCTGATTGATTTATACTCAACCGTGAGGTTTAAACGTACTGCTGCAACGATCTTCGAAAAGCACTTGGTATTAATTGTTCGTAATCGGTTTTGTTGGCTTTTGAAGATGGCTGCAACAGCAGTACGTTTGAACTTCACAGTTGAATAGAAATCAACCAAGTTATCTTTATTATCAACCAACCGAATGAACTTATTTAAGCAGTTTTTTTATTGATTTTTATTTTTTAAATTAAAAATCATCATAATTCCCTCTATTATGGAAAAATATTGCGATTTCATTTTGGGTTTTCACGTTTTTAAATATTTAAAATTCGATTATACCATATACTATAGCAATATTCGATGGGGTCTAAAATATCTCGTGGTCTATAAAACCCTATCGTAGGGTGTTGCGATGCAGAGCACGATCGTGGCACGTGCGACAGAGAAGTTAATTTGGAACGCCCGGATCATGGGTATATTGATCTTCGCAAAGCACTTGGTATTGCTGGCCTTTGATGATGGCGTTATTAGGCTGTACCTAATGGCCATCGGAGCCATTAGTCTTAAAGGTGTTTACTTAGTCTTACTCGCAATAGGTGTAGCCACTATAATTAGTCAGTAGCATTTCTAAGGGATAGTAGAGACGCGATCCGATACGATACAACCTGGTGAATGGTTACCGGCCAGAAGAAGGAGATTGCAGAGGCAATCCCCAAATGCACCTGCGTGACCGGTAAATAAGATTGGAGTGCCTACGATTGGCGAGAGTAAAGGGGAGCCCGGGTGATAGGGCAGGGAGAGAAGAATCCGAGATATATTAGGGAGAGGACGGAAGAGACAGGGGCGGGGAGTGGGCACGCGATACTGGTCGAGAGTGTACGTGCTGACGAAGAGATAAAAGCAATTCTCCTGTGAATGGTTGTTTGCCGTTTACTACACATCCCCGCAAGAGCGATCCGGAAAACATTGGTTACGATTCTTCGTTGCAGTCTCGGCAGTGATGCGATACGTTACCCGGGCGTCGGCTGCGAAGTGACGTCACCACCTTGTTACGGCGAGGCCCGCCAGAGTGCGTCCACCTCCTCCGCCGAGAGCACAGTCATCATGCTCAGCCACAAGACGGCAGCACTGTCGCAGTCTCTGCCCGCATCTGAGTCGCAAGGGCGCCGCGGCCATGCCAAGCTGCTCGCAGACACAGAGCCCTCTGGCGGTCCCCCGTCGGTGCCAACTCGTAGTGATCTAGAGCTGGTACCGTCCGGTGTTCGCGCGTCGGTGAACGACGTCGACAAGCCGGCGACGACGGCGGACGAACACGCGCAACGTCGGCAGTCGTGTCCCGGCGTCTGCGACAGCGACGACGACGACGACGCCGCAGACGTCGGTTCGCTGTCGTCCGAGACGTCGCTCGCTAAGAGCACGTCGCTGCGCTCGTTCATCGTCGGCCAGTCGTCGCCGCCGCGGCGCTCGACGCATCAGACGCACAGCAGCGGCGAGTACAACGACTACCGCACGCTGGCCGGGAAACACACGAAGACCGCAGACCTCAGCGGCTCATTTCGGCAGTGCGGCCACCACCGGACAAGCGGTGACTGCAAGCACGATGACCGCACGAGCAGTGACCGGATGCGCGTCGGCTCGCTCGTGACCGCCGACAAAAAAACGCGCTTCGTCGTCAACGACGAAAAATGCACGAACATTGGTTGGCGCGAACCCATCGCTGATGACGTCACTCCGAATCATCACTGCTACGCGAACATACGCTATGCGCGCTCGCTGCCCCATCTATCGGCCGATCACGCGCACGGAGACGTGTTGCGCTCGCACTCTGATGAGCGTGCCGAGCAGGGCGCCGACTGCACGCCACCTGGCGGCAACAACTGGCTCGACGTCTCGCCGGGTTTTAATTGGTTGGCGAGAATCGGTTCGGCGCCGTGGTTGGCTGACAGCAAGCGACTATGCGGTGGCCTGGTCGCGACAAGTCCGCATCATGTGTAAGGTAAAGAGTCGCCGGATGGCGCCACCTGTCTGAGATGCGACAAGACTTGCTCTTAGACATCTTACAGTTGTATGGATATACGTAAAGTGAACCATCCCTAAAGAACCAGCTCTAAACAGAAACCTGTCTAGGTACTTCTCTATGTTTCTGGCATGCGCACTTCTCTTCTCCCTATTCTCTTTCCCGCTTTCTCTTCTTCTCTCTCGCGCGCTCCCCTTCTACTCCCTCCCTTTTTCTTTCCTTTTCTCTCTTTCTCTCCTCTCTCTGTCCTATC